AGAAACGCTGGTCCCAGTATGCGATCCTTAATACCTGCCCATACGTTAACCGACCATCGGGTTTGGTGCCCGGTTTGTCGAACAGCGTGCGGGTTAACCTCTGAATACACGTGTGTATTTCTTCGGTTCCACAGGCCGTTTCTGGTAAATGTCGACTCATCCGTCCAGATAATGTGCTCAATGGAACCAGGCACACGTTGTTGCTAGTTTAATAACCAACGGTAGAAAACTCGTCGGCGGTCGTGATCGCCGGGAACTAAAGCTTGCACTTTGTGCAATTTGTATGGGCGCATCCGGTTACGCTTCAACACTTTGTGCACTGCAAAGTACTCGTATGACACACTTGTTCCATCTCGACGTCTTAACAATTTATTTAGCGATACTTCGTGTACCTAGGTTCGGATACCTAACATGTTGAGCACTATAAACGTACGCGTTAGGCATTATTAAAACAAAAAAGAATCCAAAAACGTAACAACAACAAAAATATGAACACGTAATCACAAGTAAATTTATTAAACAAAACGATTGAACTGTCGCTCGCGCACGCGTGTACAAAATCAACACGGAACTGTCTCAAAAACTAAAACGAACGAACCCCGCCAAGGCTGAAACCTACTGCGTCACAAGCGTGAGGCGACAGGGTTAGGCATTCTGCCGTCATAATAAAGAAGGACGCAACTAACAAAAACGTAAAATCGAAATAAAAAATAAATAGATGAATTTTTCTTTCAGACCCTGCTGTGTCTAAAGTATATTAAAAGGTATCAATATGAAAATTGAAATACGTAGAGACTTGAAGATTTTAAAGACGAACTTATTTTTTTGATAATTTGTTTATTTATTTAAATAAAACGAATTTTCTTTTTCATTTTAGCTTAAAAAATACACCTGGCCACATAAAAACATCGAATGAAAGACGCATATAACCATTTTGCGTCTTTCCAACGTAATAAATAAAAAAAACTGCCATTCATTTAACATTTTTACATATTTTGGAAAGGTCATTTGAAGTTGAAAGGACGCTAATAGTAATTTACTACTTTTTTTATTATTAGTAAATATTAGAAAAGCATTGGTAGTGAGACACATAAAATAACAACCCGCAACTCTTGAGTTATGATTTTAAAGGGGATATCATACCAGACTTACTACGATAATAATTAAAAATTAAAAGATTTTACAACCGACTTCAATATAAATAATTAAGGATAACTCAAAAACTATTGGTCTGACCTCGATCAAATTTATATGGGACCACATGTGAAACACCAGCTCTTAATAATAAGATATAAGCTCTTAATAATAAGATATAGAATAATAAGAAAAGAATAATTGAAATTTAAGTAATCGATGCAAATATTGTTAAAGATGACGTCTTAAAATAAGTCTTTTCTTTTATGTTGAATTTGTATAAGTCTTTTCTACTAAAAAAATGTCATCTGTGATCAACAGTTACGTCTAAAATTCTTACGATAATTTCTAAAATATTGATATTTAATAATTAAAAAAAAATAGTAGATGCGCCTTCTTATCATGAGTCGAATGGTATATTTAACTCATTTATTCAAAAATTGTTAGATGCGCCCTTTTTTCTTATGACCGCAGCATTGTTTCGTACCGAGCTAGATAGGTCGACAGCGGAGGGAATGTGGGTACAGTCGCGTTCTAAAGTACTACATGGTATTGGGCTCTTGTTTTATAATATTATAGTAATTAATTGTTTTATTGTAGAATCATACTAGGTGTTTTACTAGCTACTTAGAACTTTGGAAGAGGTGGGAATTAAAAATGGTTAATGTTTACTTGAGCATTATTTGTAATTTCTATCGTAAAATATAAAGTAGTTTGTAACAAGAAAACTTAAGCTAAGGGTGACACGCCGTCCATTATGACGTCTTGGGCCACATGGAAGCCAGATGTTGATGGTGTGTTGGTGTTACTGGATGCTACTTCATCATCACTTTCATCTTCGCTTGAGCTTCCGTCATCAGGTCGATCACATGGTAATTTTTTCGGTATTCTTCCTCAACACTTAATTTTACTGCACAATTTTCCCCATTCACCTTCTCCTATCATATTTACCTTTTCGATCACTAGTTTAGTCATAAAACAATAGATATAAATAATTTTTCTTTCCTTCCTTTTTAAAACATCGTCGCGAGTCGCAAAGTAAGCTGTGTATGCGACTGTATTTTCGGAGCGAACAAAGCGCGGGAACCAATAGCATGCAGGCACAGTAATACTGGCGGATTGTTCCCCCGTCGCGCGCCTTTCGAACCAATATGTGATAAATCGCTCAGTGCCCAAGTTCAAGGCCAGCGTTTGTTTTTCACCGTTCGCGCGTACATTAACCTCCATTAGTCAGGTGATATCAATTCAGTTTCCACTGCTGGTTTTATGTTTCAGTATTTTCATGATATTTTTTATGAAATTATCGTTTCATTTAGCTGTACTAACATGATGGTGCATGAATAAAGCTAATAAAACGTTGTTAAAAGATGATTTTTTTTTCATCAGGATCGACTTTATTTGTAACCCATGATCAAAGGTATACTTGGTGCTGTCGCCTGTCTTAGTTTTCGGGAGCGTTCCAAAAATACCCTGTATATGTGAAAATAATTATATGAGTGCAAGATGGTAATCGAGCTTTATTTGAAAGGGATATCTATAATACGTTTAGAAATTTAAAATAAGATTGTCATAATAAATGTTTTGGTTGTTTTAAGTAAGAATAATCCGAACAAAAACAGTTTCACTGTAAAGCATCGCGCCAAGTACACTTTCAACTATAGTTACAAAAATAATAATTACATTTTTACAAAAAATTATAAAATAAAAAGAAACCAAGTACATACCCGTTTTAGATTCGAAAAAAAATTTTGCTGAAAAAAGTAATAATAAAAAAATGGTGTACTTGGTGTGCATGATTAAGAGTATCGATCACCCAACTTGACATTGGAAGTCGTTTTTTTATTACTTTTTTGAGTGATGCTCGTACTATAAAGTACCTATAATGCACACCAAGTACATCATTTTTTTATTATTACTTTTTTCAGCAAAATTTTTTTTCGAATCTAAAACGGGTATGTACTTGGTTTCTTTTTATTTTATAATTTTTTGTAAAAATGTAATTATTATTTTTGTAACTATAGTTGAAAGTGTACTTGGCGCGATGCTTTACAGTGAAACTGTTTTTGTTCGGATATCATATCTTTTTGTAAAGTACACAATTTCTTTTTTTTTTGCAAGTATCGCACACCTCATACCGCGAAGCGGTTTAGGTTGTGCTTTAACTCTCAACACGTCAAGGTCCAGAAATTTTTTGCTCTTTAACTACCTCTACATCTACAACTGATTTGCACTCATACGATAATATGACTAGATTTATTTCAAGAAAATTTAATCAATCTATCTTATATTTTGTATAAATCAATTTTATTTTGCTACTTTAAGAAAACGGAATAAATAATTCCGTGGACGTCCGTATTGTTTTTACGTGGTCACGATAACTCTCGAAAACTTTGAGGTATCAAGACCGGGTTTTGTTTATTATTTTAAGAATTTTATTTCATAACAATAGTGTTTTTTTTTAATAAAAAAAGTCTCCAATGTAATGTAATGTCCTTCAATGTAACTTTGAATAAAACTCTATAATAACAATTAAATTTTTTGTTTTACAACTGTACCAGAGTATCCAAGTAGAGAAGTATCGTGTGGACATTCGGTAGAAACAGAAACAAAAACAGAAACAGAAACTTTTTTATTCAATATAGATTATAAATTATACTTATTGAAAGTCACTCTTTTGTTTAATTTCCACTGGTTCGGAAAAAAACCTCTGTCCTGGGAAGAACCAGCAAGAAACCCAGCGGGACTATTTTTTAAATAACATCTTACAATCATTTACACAATTAACAACACAACAATTTAGAAATAGCTTGGTAGTGATCAAATCATTCCCAGGGGTTATTGTCATCCATAAATTCCTTAATATTATAATAACCCTTTTTATACAAACTTAGTTTAATAAAATTTTTGAACTTTGTGCAGGTCAAATTTAGTATATTTTAAAAATTACAGTAGTTGTAAAAGCGTATACATCGCCCCAAGAATGAATTACTGACTCGTTGGAGTCGAGGAACTGGAACGTAATTAGACTAAGTATAATCTATTAGTTAGTCTGTGGTGTGAACTGTGAAGCAAAACTGTGGAATATATAGATTACATATATTTAACAAAAAAAAAAAACTGTAATTGTCAATGTTAGTTTGCATTTTAGCACATTTAATACTAAAGAAACCATGGGGACGAGAATCAATAAACTCTTTGAAGGCGGTGTTAGTGGATGCTTTAGCCCATTAACGTCTAATATAACTATCTAATATAACAAAAACGCAGATACAAATGTGTTTGTTAACATATAATGTATTAACCCTTTTACCTATATATTTAATAATCGTTTGATACACGGAAAAAAATTTAAACTTTTGGGTAACTTTGAATCGCTTAATGTTACCATGATAGTATTTTCTTAAGATGGGATAACTTTCAATGTTGCTACCAAAAGTTAAAAAGCTTATGTTCATATTTTTTTTATTTTGAGGTACAATGCCGCGAAAACCCTTTCAAGTTAAGCCTAATGTTAGAAAATATGGAACAAAAAGCAATTATACTCCAGAAAAATTGTAAGTGGCACTCATTAAAATTCGGTCAGATGCCATATCAAAGTTGGATGCTTCGAAATGCTTCGAAATATTATAAAATACTACCTGTAACTTTATATTATAAAGATACGAAAATATCGGAAGACTTGTTATATTTACCGCAGAAGAGAAAGGGAGCTCTCAGAATCGTTTATTATTATTGAGTAATAAATGCAATAAAAACCATCATCAGGCAGATACAGACGTATACATACTTAGCGGGTGTCGATAACTTTAAAGACTTATTAATCGGCTGCTGTGTTATTTTATACCAGCTTTGATGTAAAATACTATTCATTTCTTTTCAAGAAATAGTATGCAGGCATTTTTTGAATTTGTTGGCCATCGTATTGATTTAACATTTAAATCATCTAATTCTATCCAAGCTGATTTGTTTTTTATTATTGCACTATAGCGATTTATTTCATTGTCTATATAATAACAAAATATAGCACTGATTACGCTGTATGAATTATCACAAAGAACTATTTTGGATGTTGGTACAGATTTTATGAAGCCAGTTTGTTTATTTTTATTTATTTTAGCGACAGAAATATTTAATGCGATTACTATTATTTGTTGACAGGAATTAAACGTGACTTTCCTATAAGTAATTCTGTCCTTTCTGGCATTTGTTACAAAATTTTAAAGTATTAAACCAATGTCCATGTTGTTTATCGATTAATTCTTGTAAATTAAAAGCTTTAGTAGCATTCCCAACTTTGAGAGGTAAAATGTTATTAACTTCTTTAGACATGATTGTATAATTACAGGACTTACAACGATCAGTGTTTAATAGTTCGTATTGCACTAACTTACTAATGTCATAATTTTTACTGAATAAAGTAGAAAGTATTGCGAAAGGATTAGTTCCGTCATCTATATTTAAATGGTCATATATCTTCTCTTTTATCAAAGTAGACTTTAATATTGTTTTATTAATCGTATACATGTGGAATAATTTGCACAACTCTGTGCTGAGTGCAGTATTTTGATGTTCACTTTCTAATAATAATTGTATTATACTACTATGAAAAATGCACTGGAAAATAGAATTGATACAGCTAGAATTACCATCGCTATTTTCTATACCATGGAATTTGAAGAAATCAATACATGACTTTCTTTTAATTATATTTTGTTGTTTACTTTGATCGAAATATTTTTCAACTCCCCAAATTAAATCCCATACTTTAGACCAACGTCTTTTTGTAATTAAAAGGACTGGGAGATCAGCTCTATAAGTTTTTCTTAACCGATTATACTCTACAATTGCCTCTGTATTTGCTTTAATTGAATACGGATCGAAATTTATTAAATGTATTCCTTCAATTTTTGTTACTCGGGAGAATGCTACGTAAGATTGACCAGCATTAAAAATAGTATTGCCAGCTTCAATCACAGCATTTTTTAAACTTAAACCTTGACTTTTATGGATCGTAACAGCATAGCTCAAACATAACGGGAACTGTTCTCTTACGACAAAAGCTTTATCTGAAATTAAAAATTTTACTTTGATTCTTTCAATAGCATATTCTGTACCAGTTGCAAAATCTATATTAATAAACTGAATTTGATTACTCTCAATAGATTTGGAAATTGACTTCACAGTACCAATAGCACCATTGACTAAACCCAATGTAACGTCAATATTACGTCTTAACATTACTTTTACACCCACTTTTATTTTGATTATTTTTGGCAGTCCAGCGCTTCGGCTTGCATCTTCTTCAATCGAACTCAAAATATTAGCTGCTTTCTTTTTTAGAAATTTAGGACAATCTATATGATCATTGGCAGTAAGTACAATTTCTTCAGATTGAATCCTATCTAACATTACGGAATTAATTAAGTCACATTGATTACAGGTAGGTACTAAGCAAACTGTATCCGATGGTAGTTTGTTGATGTAATTACAAATTTCATTCAGTCTATCGTGATATGATAATGAACTATCGATATTAATTTTTCTTTTCTCTAATAACTTTATATCATCGGCAGTAACTGCTCCTATACGCATTCTAGACAATAACTCAGCATATGATTTATCAGCTTTCTGACGCATGTTTATAGTTAATTCTTCGTAATTAAATAAATCAGTCCATAAATTACTATAACTTAGAGATCCAACTAATTTTTCCACGTCTGAAAATGCTAAAATTTTGTACGTAGGATCTTCATGTACTGGAGGAAGTTGAAGTAAGTCACCAAAAACAATTATGTGTCGTCCTCCAAACCATTCATCAACATTAAATATGCTAACTAATCTTAGATGTATGTAAAGTAATGTTACATTAGAAATCATCGATATTTCATCAATAATAATTAAAGAAACATCTTTTAGTTGATCTCTTAGCATTTTTAAAGCGATATCTGATAATTGTGTATACTTCGGAGTAGAGCCATGTTCAACAGGCAACTGGAATACTCTATGTACCGTAAGACCATCAATGTTAAAAGCGGCGATGCCTGTGGGAGCTGTTACAATTGTTTCCTGGTTTAGTTTTTCCTTCACCCAGCGTTTAATTACGTGAATAAGAAAACTTTTACCTGTACCACCTTCTCCACTTACATACAACATAATTTTTTTATTTGTAAAATCTATATCTTTTATTTTTTCGAAAACTTTTAATTGATCCGAGTTCATTTGTTCGATCACTTCTGCAAGAGTAAGTTTATTATTTACTTTATCAGCAGCATCTTTCAACTCTTTAGCTAAAATATTTATTTCAACGGAATCAGACTCTTGTGATTCATCCACTAGACGCCGACTTTGATCATTTTGACTGTGTTTTATTTCTATCTGATTCTTAATATAATCTAATTCTTTTTGAAAATCTTCATTATATTCATGATATTATTTAATTTGCTCAAGCATACTTTGCTGATTCATAAATGATTCGGTATATGATTGGTACCCATTTTTTAACTCATCTGTGTCCCGCCATGGTTGAAATAATAATAAAAGATAGAAAAAATAATTTTCAGGTTGATTAGCAACATTATATCTGTAATGATTTAATAAATAACTGCGAGACCTTCTTTTTAAAAATAGTGATGGGCCAATTTTATAATATTCATTCATATTATTCTGTGGTTCAGATTTTACCACATCATACCATCGAGCAAACTCGTATAAACATACAGGTCCTAACTCTTCAGGGCGATTTGGGTAATAATCGTCGATCAGTGAAGGACAAAATATATCAGTTGATTCAGGATTTAACTCTTTTATTTTTTCGATTTCGTCTTTGGTCTTTAATTTTCGATTTCTAATCATTTTAACATCTAACCATTTTATTACCGTCTCGGAATCTGTTCCATAAAGAGAATGACCTAATAGAGTATCCGCTGCTTCGTGAGCTCCGATTTCCCGATGATTCAAACTACGCAAAGCTATTTTCCATAAAAGTTGAGCAAGAGGTTTAGTATAATTAATTTCACTAATTGTTTCAGATGCTTTAGTAGCTTCCTCTTTCGTAACATATTTTGTAACATACTGTGTTAATAATGTTGATTTTTCGCCAAGAAATTGTATGTCCATATTCCCCTCCCATACACTTAAAAGAGCAGGATTATAATCATTGATATTAGCCTCTTTATCAGTACGAGGAAGATCATAAAGTCGGCTCTTACTCTTCAACTTTCTACGTCCAGCTATTGATGTTGCAGCATCTCGAAGTACAAAATTATCAGTAATTGGTCTTGGAAATCCAAACTTACAAGCTTTAACAACTTTGTTCGATTTTAGTTTTTTCTTTCTTAAACAATAATCATTATGATAATGCTGTTGATGTGAAGTAACACGCCTATGGAGTGTAGGTGAAATATTTTTGTTTGGTAATTTGCAGGTTACATACTTCATAATGAATTCAGCTACTTCATCATTATTATTAATACCCATGACTGGGGCACCTTCTATCCAAATCAGCATATGAAGATGTTGAATACCTCTCCCTTGATATTCAAGACGCCAATAATAGTGAAGAACTTTACCAAGAGGTTGACCACTTGACGAAATAAAATCAAGAATAGCAGTAAATTTGTTATTTATAAATCTAGAGACAGAAACTGGATCAGCATTGATCACTTCATTAGGAGATAAGTTATCAAAATTTGGAGAATTTATTTCTCGTACGTAATCTATCAGATCTTGCCATAGCCATTCAGCGGGACTTACTGTAACGAACCATGTTGCGGGACCATAATGACGAGTCATGCAATGTAAGTTATTTCTCGGTTTACTCCAAAATTGAGCAGAATTTCGAAGTCGAGCAAAGATGGTACTCAAATTTGCTTCTAGCTGCCCGCTTTTTAAATTTTGTAGGTATCTTTCTGCTGTGTACTGTTCGCGAGGATTTATAACATTTAATGTATGATAAATCCCTTGACCTAATTGTCGAATGTTCGAATTATGTAATAAAAAGAAAAGATATTGTTGATTTAAGCGGAATCGAGGATCAGCTGATTTTAATCGTGCTTTAATATACTCATAATCCGTAAGTTTTACATCTCTTTTTTCATGTTGACCATTTATACCGTAAGGGTAAATATCTGGAAAACATTGCAAATCTAAAGTTGTAACTCTATTATCTAACGGTTTGTCGTTAATCTTCAACATTTGATATATATTTGTTGAAGTTTCATTAATTCTTTTATCGTGTAGCGGATATATTGTACAATGTTCGTATTGAGAGCTATTGGGGTTTAATATCTGAGTTATCATTGCACGTGGATCGATTTGCTTATTATTATCATTTTCTATTTTTTCATTGTCAGTATTTATTTGTTCATCTTTAAGAGTCATATTCATGTGCATACTACAGTTATGATCGTTATTATTGAGGTTCTCGTGCGTTTCAACAATATCAGTAGCTATACTAGCAGGTATACTGTACCTAGTTATGATCATTGTAATGAAAATTATTCCCAGGTGCATTAATTATAGTTTCATGATTTGGGGTTGTGATTATATCACTATCTGTATGAATAGGTATATCCATATTTACGTGAGTTATTTTAGTTCTAGGATAACAAACATTATGCTCAATTTGGGCTTTAAGACTCTTTTCATTGATTGAAATAATATTTTCACTCCTAGCTTCTAAAATAATTTTGGGCCCATTACAAGCATTAAGATCTTGTTTTTCATTGTGATTAATTTCTTCGTCATCATTTTCGTTGTCGTTGTTCATAGATTTGTTTATATCATTTGATGGATTATCTTTGTCTTCGATGTAACTTTGTTCGACATCAATTATCTCAATTGATTCAATATTAAACTCCAAATTTTTTGATATCAACCATTTTTTTAAATTTTCAGGGCATTTAGGAATCATTATTTCTGCGTACAACGGATTATTTTGGTTTAACCAAATTAAAACTTTAAATATTTTCTCTAAATTAACTAAACTTTCCCATATAACATTCGATTTGTTCGGTATACTACGAATTAAAATATATAACTCATGATTGGTGTTAATAGGATCTGTGGTTGAGCATATTTTTTTCAACGTTTCTTCGATGGGTAAAGGAAGATGAAATGTTTGGCCTTTTAATTTTTGCATTCGCATAGTCTGAGGCAACTTTTTTTTTGCGACTGTTCCTAATCGTTGAACAACTTGAAACGCTTTAGCCCTTTGGATGACAATCGTTTCATAATTATTTAAAGTCTTTATTTCATCAGGGATGGATCCTACATACATATTATTCAATAAGCAAGTTGAAGGCAGTTCGTTAGAACGAAGCTTCTTGAGGCAGCTATGTGTACATACATAATTACTACTTAGTGTAATATCTTGTGCTTTGATAAAATTATTTAGATTTTGCCAAACTTCGGTTGAAATTGGATTGTGTATTTTACTTAAATCGGTGACGTCTTTTCTGAAATTTAACTTTTGGCATGATATACACTTATATCGAGGTAAATCAAGTGATCTCTTAGTGAACGTTGTAAATGCTGTTTTATATTGTTTTTGTTATAAGTCTTCATCTAAACAGAGTCCGTCTTGTTCCTTATCAAGTATATTTCCTTTCATCTTCATTTCATTTGTAATTTTGATTAAAGTTTCCAAATCAGAAGTCTCCAAAGCACAATCTAATACTTTTAGATTATCAAAATTTTCCTTCATTCGATAAATAAGTCTTTTTATATATCTAACAGCTGGAAAATGTGACGACAGTATTTCCACTGCAATAAATGACGATTCACAGAAAATTAGCGAGTTATAACAATATTGAAAATGACCAAGTTTATCGACAGAATGGCGTGTAAGAAACATTTTTTTTAATAACATTAAAAAACTCTTTAATTGCCGTGCCTGAATGTCCTGAAGTAAATTTATATATTGCTCATATATTTCTGTATTATGGTTAGTACGACAGTAGTTGTTACATGACCACTGTTTTTTTCCCTGACTATTCTTTAGAAGTGGTAAGATATTGGTACATTGTCCTTTTGAGTTCATCGTAATAACTTGATCACTAATTTGCTCGAATAAATATGATACCTCATAAAAATAGGATTCGGTAGATGAATTATGAAGTGATCTACCACATACATTCTTATAATACTCAATATTTTTGACAGAATTATCGGGTAATTTAGAAAGGTGAAACTCAGCTTTATTTTTCAATGTCATCAATGTTCTGGATAAAATGACCATATAATTTTTTCTTTCACATAAACACCACTTGACAATTCTTTCAGCTTCTAATCTTTTTTCAGCTAAACTATTTGTATCTATTGCTTCTGTCAATTTTTTAATGCAATGTTCTGTCGATAATTTTAATTTAATACTATCATGTTTGCACTCATTCAGTTTATATTTTGATACAATTTTTTTTGCGGTCATTATTTTTTGGTTTTGTATTGTTTGATTACGAGATTTAACTTTCGTTTCAACGAAACTTTTTCGTGAACTTACAGATTTTTGTACATCAGTAAATTTATACTCATCATTATTTGGATTATTCGATTTATTTTCAAATGATGCATCAACAGGTTTGATTGCACATTCTGGAGTCAAGCTATTATTATCAGAATTTGGGTTACATTCGGTTTTAAGTAACTTTAGATTGTACTCCAATTTTATTGATTTTTTTTCTCTTAATGTTCGGTAGTAAAAAGCAATTTTTTCTTTTTTCCTAATTTCTTCCAAATCAGACAAATATAAGGTGTCGCTATTGATTTCTGGAAAATGACTAATTACTCGAGTTTGAAACATGTTTTATAAATGAGATCACATGGAACTAAGATCATAAATAATATCATCAGGATTCCGTCTAAATAAAAGAGATACTGCAAAAGCAATAGCGAAAATCCCACAGTCATCTCCATTTACTTGAAATTGCACTTTAGGAAAAATGATCGATTCTGAACTTATCTCTAAATAAGGAAATAAATGCTGCAAAAAATTTTTTTGATCGTTATGCAATGACCCACTATTTAAAGAGTCATAAACATAAACTTTTTTGGTATCATAAAAAGAACAAACCCAATGCCCATTTTGACTAAATAATATTTGAATGTGCTTCTTTAATTTCGGTACTGGTTCTATTCTTTCAGGTCTTACCAAATTTAGCGTATCGCGATGAACATAATCAGAACAGCTTTCTAACATTAATTTAAAATGATAAATATGTTCGTCTATCAGTTTATCTCCCTGATTTATTAAATTTATCAATAAATTTATATTCAAAGTTGAATCAAGAACATAACTATGATCTTTCATTTGAAATTTAGTAATCTGGTCGTTGACCAAATGTTGTGGAACTTTTAAAATGCAAACACTTGGTGAATTTTCTTTTTTTACAGTTGATGATGAAGGCCCATATCGTTTACAGCGATAATTCAAAGCATATCTTTCTTTCTTTCTAATAGTCGATAAATCTAGTAAAGTGCCTTTATTTTCATTTGAAATCACAGGAAAATGAGTAAGTTTATTTGTCCTAAAGATTGACAATAAATGTGATCGCATTTACCTGGTGTTATAAATAATGTTTACAGGATTTTGCTGAAATAATAAGGATATTGCAAAAGCAATGGCAAAAATTCCACAATCATTACCATTTTGCTGATGTTGAACTTGAGGAAAGATAGTAGAATTTGGGTCAAATTTAAAATACGGGTGTAGTTAAGTGTTGTAGAAAAGTTCTTTGGTCATCATTCAATGAACCTATATTCAAAGAGTCATATATATAAAGCTTCTTTGTATCATAAAAAGAACATACCCAATGTTTATTTCGACTGTACAATATTTGAATATGTTTTTCTAATTGAGGCACAGCTTCAATTTTTTTAGGTATTTTAAGATGCAAAGTATCACGGTGGTTGTAATCAGAATAATTAGCTAAAATAAGTTTGAACTGATAAAAGTGTTCATGTATCAATTGATTGCCTCGTGTAATAATATTTAGATATTCTTCATTAAGCATCGGCAATTCCATAATGTGACCCTTTTTTACTATGGGAGTTTCTATCGAGTTTGATGGATCCATGTATTGTTTGATGCATTGGCTTATTTTACCAGTTTTGCTTTTGGACTGATCAACGTTATAATTTTCACGAATTACTTGATTATGTGGAGAATCTAAATGACTCGACGATTCCTTAGTTGATTGAAGTACATTTAAATTAGACATTTTTCCTAGATTATTATTATTACTTTGATTATAGTAAGTAGTGTTTTTACATTTAGACCGTTTTTGAGCAGATGTGGCTTTGAAGTTCTCATGATTGTTGTTATTCCTCTTCGTAGAGTTTTTTCCGGGAATATCATTGACAACTGAGATATCTTTAGGAAAATTAGAAATAATACCATCTTGAAAAATTTGCAGATGTGGTCGCATCTGATCATGATCATAACGAAATGAATCTACTATTGGCCACTCTCCAAGAGCAAGAGAAGAAGCAAATGCAATAGCATAAACCCCACAATTAATACCATTCGGTTGATGTTGGACTTTAGGAAATATAGTTTTTGACTGAAATGGAAAATTAGGATAACACCGTGAAAGAAATAATTGATGTTTTTCATGCAACTTATTACTTCCAATAGAATCAAAAATATATATGTTTTTGGTATCATAATAGCAACAGACCCAGTGACCGTTTGAAAAATTGCCATATTTGTACTCCCCTTCACAACTATGTAAAATTTGAATGTGTTTTTTATTTAGATTTAAAGGCTCAATCAATTCAGGGCACTGAACATGCCATGATTCACGAACCGCGTAACCGAAATTTGAATGCAATAAAAACGCAAAATGGTCGATATCGTTATCGTCTAACATTAAATGTTGAATTATATTTCGGTAACCTAGTATGTCAACAGATGACATTATTAAATAGCAATTACTTTATGTAAACCAATGCAAATAATCAAGTTTATATAAGATCGGAGTAATATTAATAGTATCAGTGTACAAACAATAAGTGTGAAATGATTTTCTGTGCAAATTAACAACTGCTCCTGTATGCAGAAACTGAATACTTAAAATATGTAACCTGTAGCCTAATTGTTAGAGCAAACTACTTTTTAATATTAAAAAATCAAAGCTCAACTGCTGAATAATAGCAGAAATTATAAGACGACTGCTATTCAAAAGCAGACAATTAGAATGTGACTGCTGTCTAACAGCAGAAATTGTATATATCCTTAGGTATAGTTGAACACCATCCCTTGCTGAAAAAAATACAAATTACTTAGTTGCATTACAATTAAAAATTACAAAAAACTAGGCATGATTTTAACTTTATAATATAATCTACAGTTTACGCAATAATTATTTATAAATATTGATAAGTCAAAAAAGGAGAAAATTTATTTTTGTATGGAGAATGGGCCCACCACAAATTGTAGCGTAACTTGAAATACAAGTCGATTTATTCCTCATCATCTACAGATTACAATACTAGTTTTACAGCATCTATCGGTAATACTGAGAAATTAACAATTAAAATATGTTTACATAAAATCAGTTTTACGGATTTTATCGCGTATATTAAGTTATATTCCAGATGTTTCGGGTGCTTTACAACACACATGGTCCCCCATGACCATGGGTGCTGTAAAGTAGTTTTATTTAATTCAATAATAGAATAAAACAAAGTTTTAGGTACATTCAGCATTTATTGTTTATATATAGCAATATATTCATATACATTTATAGGTATTTTAAGATTGATGGAAAATCCTTTTAGTAGTTCCAGAAAAACAGTACATACTGCACAGACATGGTGTGGAAACTATTTTAGATTACATAATATTTACATATATTGATTGATTAATAAGTATTAATCCCAATCACCATTACAGTAATTAAAAAATGTGATTAAAGCCAAGATGGCTAAGGAATAATATGTCCACTTATATATAATATTACCACTTATATAATATACACACTATATAATGAAGATGATGAGAAACATGTTTTATACTGGTTGTGTAAGGATAAAAATCACAAAGTAAAATGCCTCTGCATTTATTATTATAAGTAATAATTTCCAAAGCTTTGTTTTAATATCTTTTGATAGGTTAGCAAGTATACACAGTAAATAACATTAAATCCAAAATTATTTGGTTATAACATACCCATTATTGATTTTAGACATTAATAAATAAACAGCAAGTTACATGTTTTAAAATGGTTATGATAAAAAAAAACACAATACATAATATCACTGTATTTACTATTGTTCATTATTATTTTCGTTTCTTCAAAGTAGCACAAACAATCAGGTGTGGTGTGGATACTTTGTTTACATAATGTATTGATTGATTGGTTAGTATACATCCTAAACACCATTTATGTTAAACAGACAGGCACAGTATGTGTACTTTGTTTTAAAATATGTTAACAGATTATTACCCACACCCCCAACACCATTAAAGCCAATGACTAGGTAATAACATGTTTATCTATGTTAGTACACACTGATAAATAGTGGGGAAATAAGATGTTCAAACTGGACATATGACAGAGACAATAACATGTCTTTATGATTTTGTTATGAATCACAAGCACATTTTCAACAATAACAGATATGAGATTAAACTGTTGTTTTCAATATCTATAAATTGCATATTCATATTTCTGTTGTCTTTCCATATTCTGTTGTGCCTACCGAGAGGTCTGCAAGCTTTCAGCCTGCAAGGCATACTGATTTATTTTAAACTGTCCACCTGAAAAAAGTTAATGAAAAATCAGTAAAAATAAAAAAGTTAAAAGATATAAATTCTGAAAGAATGTACATAACCTACAATTGATTTTATAGGATGAAGGGTAGGAGAGAGAGATTAGCTGAAGGTGAATCCCCCAGCGAAAGAGTGATTTTTTTATAGGATAGGGTGACAAACGAGCACACAGTCCACCTGATGGTAAGTGGTTGCTGTTGACCATAGACATTTACATCTATCATCGTTTGCGAATCAAAATGTAGATGTGTTGTCACCTGTGAGGACAAAGATGAAATGCCTCTTTTCCAGTAAAAAGGGTCTCCAGTTCTCTACACTCACCATACAAAACACAGCAGTGTTAAGCTGCTATTTTACGCTGGTATTTTGTGAGAGCGTGGTCCTTCCCCAGTTGAGCCGACCCATTCGTGCTACAACTATACTACTAATATAGCTGCAGCATGGCTATACCACGTGTGATGCAGAAGCCTAGTTTTTAAATAAAAATATCAATCAATGAAAATACGAAATATTTTTATTACAAAGATATAGAAATCCAAAAGAGGAATATGAATTATAATATAATATTATATATTTAATATAATATTTATAATTGAATTTTATATTATAAGAGTGGACTGAAAAACTAATTATTACACTTTATTTACTTTTTTCTTTATTATATATTTTATCCTTATTATAAATAATAACATGCCGAACTAGGAAAAAAATACAAATATTCTTTTTTGACATTGTTTTCCGATTGATATTTGATTGATTCCAGATAATTTCATACACAACTAGGTACTTTTGTAAATATTTTGTGATTCTATTATTTATTTAATTTAGCTTAACTTTAATAGGTAGGTAATTTTATAAACACACTAATAAGGTTATGAGACCTGTGTTTGTCATTTGTTGTAAGTAATTAAACATTTTGGAGGAAATACAAACTCTTGTATTATTTTTCTCTCATGATTTTTATTTTGATTCATTGACATACTTACCTACTTTTTAGCAGATAAACTTTAATTGAACTTACTACAATTTCAAATACAAACTTTTTCAAACTTTACCACAAATATAGTTTATATAATATTCACTTTTATTTCAATCTCATTCTGTCCTACTTTATCAATTGTTAAACAAAGAAGTTTACACTTTTTAATTTTGCTGGTTTGCTACCATATTGTATTCTTTGTTTGCTATCAAAAAGTAATAAAGTATACAACCACAGTCTATTCTGTAATATAGGAAGTGTGTCAATGAAATAGAGACGTGTTGCTGCTTCTATAACTTTAATTATAATGTTCTCTATTCTTAACTTAACTCTAATATATATATAGTCGTGGGGTCTATACCACACTACACCTCCCACCGACAAAAAAATAAAAAATAAAGTTATCTATTTTTTATCCAACCTCAAAACTATTCTAAACATAATTAAAATTTAATGGAAATTAAGTCTAAGTGTTATAAAAACTGCAATCTAATGTATACCGAGATTGAGCAGGGCGTTTGGCAACGCTCTCTCGCTACTAAAAATCGCGTATTCACAGAAGTATTATATGACATAGTCAGGCATAATTATGTATAACATAATATTATGTTTCGACTTTCGCAAACATTTACAATATTATTTATTCGTATTCATCAGAACATGTCATCTAATCCGGACATTTATAATACTCTAATAATATATCTTTTCACACTTCAATACTTCTCTTTGTTCTCTTTTTTACTTCATGTATTTACTTCATTCTTGTTTAACAATTATTTATTTTTCATTTTACTTCTCAGCATTTTTGCTACATATTCATTCAATATTTGTGTCATTTCTTTCACGTACACGGCTCGCGTACATACATGATCAAGACAATGACCAATATCACTTTATTTAACTCTTTACATTTATAGCATTTCAGCTCATATAATTTATTAATTAATTGTACCATAACTTTCACGTACACGACTCGCGTAAATACATGATCAAGATAATGAACAATCTTCCTATACAGTTCTTAATAAAGTCACATTTCTTTAAGCAATTCATTAAAAATCATTCCTTATTTCATCGAATCCGAACAACTTTAAAAATTAATCGGTTATTAGGTTTTCCAAACTCTCAGCTGATCGGGCCGATTGTATGTGGATATGCTAACCTCCGATAATTTTTCTTTACCTATGCCACACTTTCTACTTATATTTCTATCAATATTTTTCATTCAGAATGATAATTTCCGTAACTTATCCATAAATTTACTTACGTCTTTTATAAATTATGTCATATTGTCTCGTATAATATTTAGTTACATCATTGTCAGTCAAGGATTGAGGCTCACAATATGGGTACAACAAATTTCAAATTAATTACTTAATTGTCTACATAACATAACTATTAAGCGAAGTAAATATTTTCATGGTCTACATAAGAACGTACTATTTTCCGAGAAATTAACAAATTATAATAGTTACAAGCTTACGATTTAAAAGTTCAAACAACATAAAACTGAAAACAAATTATTACATTTCATATTAAGATGAATAGAACAAAGAAGTCAAAGCAACGTAATCATTTTCAATAACAATAACATAATCACATAACAACAGATAGATCAAAATACAAATTGTAATTCCACTCTTAGCAGCGCAAGCGATTTGAGACACCTATGTTTTAATTAACAAAGTACGTATATGGCAACGTTTGCGATTACATCGTATTATGATCACCTAATTTAAACGTAACTTATACAATGTTATTATTACATACATAATATGTGGATACAAGTAAAATGATAGTTTTAAATTCCTTATTTACACAGAATTTTAGACACATTACTTTTGCTTGGATCGAAAAAGATTGCTAGAAGTATGGTATTTACTATATCGTTTACAGAAAATAATTGAATAATTACTGTAACAAATATCAACTTTACACAACAAAACATTAATTACTTACTTAACTTTTGACATTCAAAAGAACAATTTTAATTTTTAAGTGGGTTATTATATAACTTTAAAGTCACTGCCTTTATAAAAGAAAAGAAAAACTAATACTTATTAACAATACTGAATTGTTTTTTAAATAAAATTTAATACAGAAAAAAAAAACAACGAAATATATCATATTTAACAATATATCAGTATTATTTTAATTATACGAAAAGTTAATTTATGGTAAACTATGGTAAATTTAAGCATGTAAAAATGTAATCTACTATATTATTTCATTCGTTTTTTGTATTGTATCCTGCACAGTTATAAAAATAATATGAAACAATAACTAAATAAAATTTAATATAAAATTGTCTTGTGCCTTAATACAAATGCCATAAATGCCTAAAATGTAATGTGCTTTTTTGATATTGTATTATGATTACATTTTTTATATATATAAATAGTGATAAAAATATTGAAAAATCAATTGTACCGTGAGTTATCTGATAAATAAGTTCAATTTAAACATACGTGTTAAACATAATATGGAACATTTAATACTTAACTTTAACAAATATTATAGCAAAAAAATATAAAAACAATCTCAAATTGATAAATAAAGTTTTAAATGGAATTAAAATCACACAGGTGCGAAGTTACCTCTTAATTTTCTTCTTTGTTCTTCTGGACGAAGCTTGCAAGAGTACAACCGCTGCTTTCCTTTTCAAATAAACCTGCCGTTTCTAGAATTTTGTTCTTTGGTAATTATATTTAAAAAAATCACTTTTTATTTTTCTCATTCTTTCTTAGTTGCTTTCATAGTAGGTACTAATATACATTTAAATTATATTACTTCATGTTCATTATACTTTTTATATTTCAGTCAGCTTTTGTAAATATTTTGTTTTATTATTGTGGCCTCTTCTTGTATTCATATGTATTTATTTTTTTCGTCACATCCGGGTGTATATTCCGTGTAGTCCGGGTAAATATTTATATTATTTTCAACAATTTTTGCAGGCCGTGGCGGTGCGCGTGCATTGTAGCAGCGCACCGCCTGGCAGGGTCGCCATGTTATATAGGAAGTGTGTCAATGAAATAGAGACGTGTTGCTGCTTCTATAACTTTAATTATAATGTTCTCTATTCTTAACTTAACTCTAATATATATATATAGTCGTGGGGGCTATACCACACTACACTACAGTCAATGCTATGTCTACAATTTTAAAATATTATAAAGATTTCACTACATACATATTTATTTCTTTTAATTATTCATTGTTTTATAACCATATCGCACATTGATAAGAAGACTGACACTATCCAAAAATATAGTTTTTTCAGTAGGGGCGTTTAAAGATTTACGAAACAATTTCGACTAGTTTTATGTAAGAAATAATAATTAAATTATATTATGTTATGGTTTTTATTACAAAAGATATTAAGCACTACGGTAAGGTTATATTATTTTATACACAATGTATTTTTAAATTACTATTTTTTCAAAAAAACTTTTATAATGACGTTATTTCTTTAATTAATAAGTTAAAAATTTTCAGTTGCTTTACAACTTAATGACATAATAACAGTAAGAAAAACAAAAGAAAAACTGAAATAAGAGCGTTTACCATAAGTTTTCCTTAGAACACTTAAACATTAACTTATTTACGAATATAACATCCAGTTAAATAGCACTTTTATTAAATACTTTTGGACTTAAATGTTAAATCTTAATACTTTATGAAGCCTAGGTAGTGCAAAATGTTGACAGACAAGCTTTACATTGGCAATACTATCTAAATATAACTGAAATTGGGAGCCTCGTCAAAATTTTGTAGTAGGTCTTTGAACATCATTCGTATAAATTAAAATTATTCCTTAAATCTCTTAAAAATAAGTTAACAAAAAAGATTTTCATAAAAACCATTATGATATTCAAAGAGTTAAATTTACACTTAATGATTGAGATCAATTTAATAATTCAGATACTAATGAGATCAATGAAATTATTATTAAAAGGAAGAGACGCGTAACCAAATTCTTAAATAATATTATAAAAATAGGAAGATGCGTAATATTTGGGAATGAGATTTTGTTCAATCAACGATTTGATGTCGTTTCTCTTCCTTTCAGCCAAAGGAAGTTTAGCACTGTAAAGAGGTTTTAGTTGATAACTGACATTGTAATCTTGGTCCCTATTTTGTGATGACTGTTGTCTGCGAGTAGCTATCCTATTAGTTTCAAGTCTAATCTCTTTAAAATTCTGTTCTAAGTAAGAATTCTTATAAAACATTTTAACTTTAAAATGTTCATCTAGATATTTTACTACTTTAATAATTTTAATATCGCCTATCTTAATTTTTTCACCTTCCGTATTCTTTAAAAGATTATTATCAGAAAGTAATTTAATATCATAAAAATCTCTATGACTCATCACGTTTACAATGTATGGGTTTCCCTTTTTCCGAGCATTCTTTATTGCTGCAATATATTGGTCGGGAACATAAATTGGACCAGATTTTAAGAGCTTTTTAATTTCTCTCTCAATAGTCGAATGGACTGCGTCACCCTCATTTTGTGTATGACCTTTCACTAGAAATTTGTGGATTATGGATTTTATCGGCAGATTTTTTAATGCATACAAATATAAAGAAAACATGAATTGGTTTTTTTGTTGACCACAACAATTATCTGAATAAAATATGAAATCAGAATCTGGATGTAATGAAGACATTTTTTCTAAGTATTTCAGCACGCAAGTTCCTATTTCATTAACTCCTCTTTGGCCTTCTACTTCAGTCCAAAAATAACATTCAGTGTGATCTTTTCTCAGTTCAGAAATAGTAAAATTGAAACAATTTATTTTACTTTTATAATAAAAGACTGATATTTCTCCTTTAGGTACAGTCATGACCGCCTGCAAGTCGTAGCAAGATACAATGCTTTCATTTATCTTCTTATCCTTTTCCTTCTCTAATCTACTTTCATTCTTTTCCTTTAAATGAGTTTGGTATTTGTCTTCAAGATCTTGTTTTATATCCGCATTCTTGTATGCTGTACATAGATCACATTGGTCTTTTTTCGGTACGAAAAAGCTAATGTTAAATTCTGTATTAAAAACTTTTCTATATATGTGTATTTTTACGAATGGTATATTTTTTTCTATACACTCAGCTTTATAATCCCTGTATAACTCAGATAATGTCTTTCCACCGTCAATAAATTCCTTAGAAGTTTGTTTACGCAAATAGTGGCTCTCGATCCTGGGTATGCTATTAATATGACATCGTACTTCATTGAGAGCCTCTTCAGAAATTCTTTTTTTATTATTGTGTTTGCCCCTTTGTTCACCAACTATTATACCTTGCTCGTTTTTCTTGTCCAAAACCGTTCTAATAGGTCGATCATTGATACCAAGAGTATTTTTAAAAAATATCTTACACACTCTAAGTTTTTCGCCATTTACCACGAAATGAAAAGCATTCTTTGGTTTCCTGTTACTATTCAGCCTTTTGTACTGATACTTAGGAACTACGGTTTCTAAATTCATAGCAATAAAATCTCTTTGACGAACTAAAGAGCCTAAATTCCAAAATGCGTCAAAAATTTTTTTTCGATCTTCTTCAGTAATATTCTCACCACATTTAAGCCGACATTTTTCATTACATGGTCTACTCATCGTTCTTTCACCAACAATTTTCGAAGATGAAGACATGTACTGCTTTCCTAAATTTCTTAAAGTCTGTGCAGTCTTTTTCTTATTGTTTCCTCTTTTATAATTATGCCGACAAAGCTTGTTACCTTTTTCTATAATGGGGTTAAATGAGCTCTCTGGCCGAGAAACTGACACGCTGATGTTTGTGTCTAACGTATGTGTGACAATAGTTTGCCTGCAGTCTTGGATGCAGTTGCTTTTTTCGCAAATATGTGCATCAGTCAATGTGGCCGACAATGGAACTTGATTGTCTCTGCTAGGATTTTCACACGAAGAACTGGAAGAGGACGAGGAACTGGATGTGGTAGTACAGGACGATGAACTTGAAGAAGAACTGTTTGACCGCCGTAGATGTTTGGAGCTGGATGATTCTAACGGTATGTAAGTAGGATCATGGTCAGAGGCAGGAGAAAAATCACGTTGTGATGTATGACTGGAAGCAGATGACAAGGAATTTCTTCTTTCCTCGCGATGCTGTTTATTGGGAGGTAAATTTTCATCCACATACAGTTCATTCTGAAAACAAAACTATAATTTTAAATTAAATAAAAAATAAATGAGAAACATAGCATTGCATTAACCCACCATAACAATACTAATTATGTGGGTTGGGATGGACAAAACTACGTACAAGTCAACAAATCTGGAAACTTATGTAAATTAGATAAGATGTTAGTTAGTAGTTTTATTCTCAATACAGATTTCCTTAACTTAGTAAAAAACATTAGAATTCAGTGCTACCTAGAACTCTTATAAACTTTTTGACAAGTATTGTAACAAATTATTAGCAACCTGTTCAGCCGTCTGGCGATCTTTAGATAAAATACTTTGATGGACAGAAATATCAAATCCAAGATTTATGTTAGGAATGTCTTCATTTGCATTCGATTTAACACTGTTCTCATTATGAGATAATTCGCAATAATTTTCTGGGGTCTGGTGTATTTTTGACTCATAATTTACGCTTTCCAATTGTAAACTTTGTTTTTGAATACCATAACAATTACGCTTTATATATTCTTCTCTATTATCTAATGAATCCTCAAACAGTCTTCTAGAAATATTCTTAAGTTTGTTTATTCATGCACTAGGCAAAGGCATTTTCCAGCCTGAAAATAAACAAATAGTGGTAAAATTGTTATGACTAATACAGTAACATCTTAATATTATTCTCATTTATTATTATCAGTACATCTAAAATTATTTAATACAATTTTTATGAATTTTCTAATGAATAGCGTCAATAAACAACAAAAATATAATTAAACTCGTTAGTAGTAAGTTATTACAATACCTTTCCACACTAAAGACGAAAATGTCTTTTGTACTTTGAAAAGGGAACTGAAACAATAATAAAAATAGACACTATACATGTAAGGTTTTTACAACTTTATCACAAAACCCATTATTATATTTTATTAAATAAGAATAATGACACTATATAAAAAGTGTCAATGTTATCTCATCAGTATATCGAACATTATATTTTATTAACGAGGAAAGCGACACTAAGTGCATAATGACAATAATTGCTTTATAATTAAATCAAAATCCTTGGTTTGGCTAACAAGAAGAGTGACATTAAAAAAATAATGACATTGTTAATACGTCACCAGACTAAATATTTCAGTTTCGGTAACAAAAAGTGTGACACTAAAAAAATAATGACATTGTAACTTCCCTGTTAAATCAAAATTTCTAAATAAGTAAATAGGAACTTCGACACTAACGAAAACTGTCATTATGTCTTTCCGAGTTTGGAGCATTATTTTAATAATTTAACTGCCTATACGACACTTAACGAAAGATGACATTATTCGTATTAAATTCAATTTATACTTACCAATTCTTCTCAATCCAAATAGCATTAAAACAAATAGTGTCACTATAAAATGTACCAAATGTAACCTTTCTCGTTAGCTTAGCGGTCACGAATGAAAAAATGTCGGTCTGCCGTGACAGATCACTTACAAATGTCGATAAAGTCGTTTCGACACAGCGCTATCTAGCGAACACTATTAAAGTTATGGTGACAGGTGTTTTTGTAAAAAATAGTTTACTACGCGAATTATAAGATGGCGCACTTATCTAAATAAGATTATTTTTCGTATAGTGACGGTCTTCTTATCAATGTGCGATATATTAGATTTATTATAACTGTAGGTATGAATTTGTTAGTAATATGCATTATAGTCATAAATAATATGTACTATCATAATTCAATTGTAATATTATGAAGGTACTATATTTATTAGTATTTTTACAAACAGATTTTAAAACATGTATAGATCTCATAATAAGAAAAGGTAAAAAAATAAAATGTAATACATCAAAAACGAACATGTTTAATTTTCGTTTCCACAATGTATTTTTTTTAGACTGGACCTTCGAATGTGACAAATAAGAGATTATATTCCTCATAAAAATTTAGAACTTTTAAATCGACTGTAGGTTTTGCACAGTTCTGCCTTAAGCTTTGCGCATTCCGTAAGATAAAATACTAACCTCGTGAGAAATCCACACACAAAAACAGTTGGTGCTCATCTATAGCTGTCTCGGATAGTAATTGTTTTCGAACATTGCGAATTTTTGCAGATTCAATTTTAAAATTGCAAATAAATACAAAAAAGCAGCAACGTGACAAACGTCAATGCCACAATCCAAATCCACAAACACTGCACAAACACAAACTATCGTCAATGTCGTATAGTAGTAAATAAATAATAATACAAAATTAATATATTTCATCTATAATACAAAGAAAGGATCCCGGACCCGAAAAGCAATTACCATAGATAAGGTTATTCGATATACATCGATACATCGAATTCATTTCACTCGCTGTTTACAATAAGATGTATCGATGTATTTTCATAAAACATCGAATCAGTGATACTTACATACCAATATTAATATTATAACTTCTAAATCAGTAAAACTAAAACATGCTCTAGTTTAGAAGTTATAATATTAAACCTATTAGAGGCGCGAGAAAATTTATTTTTGTATGGAGAATGGGCCCACCACAAATTGTAGCGTAACTTGAAATACAAGTCGATTTATTCCTCATCATCTACAGATTACAATACTAGTTTTACAGCATCTATCGGTAATACTGAGAAATTAACAATTAAAATATGTTTACATAAAATCAGTTTTACGGATTTTATCGCGTATATTAAGTTATATTCCAGATGTTTCGGGTGCTTTACAACACACATGGTCCCCCATGACCATGGGTGCTGTAAAGTAGTTTTATTTAATTCAATAATAGAATAAAACAAAGTTTTAGGTACATTCAGCATTTATTGTTTATATATAGCAATATATTCATATACATTTATAGGTATTTTAAGATTGATGGAAAATCCTTTTAGTAGTTCCAGAAAAACAGTACATACTGCACAGACATGGTGTGGAAACTATTTTAGATTACATAATATTTACATATATTGATTGATTAATAAGTATTAATCCCAATCACCATTACAGTAATTAAAAAATGTGATTAAAGCCAAGATGGCTAAGGAATAATATGTCCACTTATATATAATATTACCACTTATACAGGGTATTTTTGGAACGCTCCCGAAAACTAAGACAGGCGACAGCACCAAGTATACCTTTGATCATGGGTCACAAATAAATTTGATCCTGATGAAAAAAAAATCATATTTTTACAACGTTTTATTAGCTTTATTCACGCGCCATCATGTTAGTACAGCTAAATGAATCGATAATTTCATAAAAAAAATCATGAAAATACTGAAACATAAAACCAGCAGTGGAAACTGAATTGATATCACCTGACTAATGGAGGTTAATGTACGCGCGAACGGTGAAAAAAGAACGCTGGCCTTGAACTTGGGCATTGAGCGATTTATCACATATAGGTACGAGGGGGGTGCGACGGGGGATCAATCCGCCAGTATTACTGTGCCTGCATGCTATTGGTTCACGCGCTTTGTTCGCTCCAAAAATACAGTCGCATACACAGCTTACTTTGCGACTCGCGACGATGTTTTAAAAAGGAAGGAAACAAAAATTATTTATATCTATTGTTTTATGACTAAACTAGTGAACGAAAAGGTAAATATGATATGAGAAGGTGAATGGGGAAAATTGTGCAGTAAAGTGTTGAGGGAGAATACCGAAAAAATTACCATGTGATCGACCTGATGACGGAAGCTCAAGCGAAGATGAAAGTGATGATGAAGTAGCATCCAGTAATACCAACACACCATCAACATCTGACTTTCATGTGACCCAAGACGTCATAATGGACGGCGTGTCACCCTTAAGTTTTTTTTGTTACAAACTACTTTATATTTTACGATAGAAATAACAAATAATGCTCAAGTAAACATTATCCATTTTTAATTCCCACCTCTTCCAAAGTTCTAAGTAAATAGTAAAACACCTATTATGATTCCACAATTAAACAATTAATTACTATAATATTATAAAACAATAGCCCAATACCATGTAGTACTTTAGAACGCGACTGTACCCACACTTCCTCCGCTGTCGACCTGTATCTAGCTCGGTACGAAACAATGGTATGCGGTCGGAAGAAAAAAGGGCGCATCTAACAATTTTTGAATAAATGAGTTAAATATACCATGACTCATGATAAGAAGGCGCATCTACTAAATTTTTTTAATATTCACAAATATCAATATTTTAGAAATTATCGTAAGGATTTTAGACGTAACTGTTGATCACAGATGACATCTTTTTATTAGAAAAGACTTCAACATAAAAGAAAAGACTTATTTAACCAGTGGCTACGTCATCTTTAACAATATTTGCATCGATTACTTAAATTTCAATTATTCTTGTCTTTTTATTCTATATCTTATTATTAAGAGCTTATATCTTATTACTAAGAGCTGGTGTTTCACATGTGGTCCCATATAAATTTGATCGAGGTCAGACCAATAGTTTTTGAGTCATCCTTAATTATTTATATTAAAGTCGGTTGTACAAAATTTTTAATTATTATCGTAGTAAGTCTTGTATGATATCCCCTTTAAAATCATTACTCAAGAGTTGCGGGTTGTTATTTTTTGTGTCTGACTACCAATGCTTTTCTAATATTTACTAAGAAAAAAGTAGTAAATTACTATTAGCGTCCTTTCAACTTCAAATGACCTTTCCAAAATATGTAAAAATGTTAAATGAATGGCAGTTTTTTTTATTTATTAGGTTGGGAAGACGCAAATAGTTATATGCGTCTTTCCTTCGATGTTTTTGTGTTGCCAGGTGTATTTTTTAATCTAAGATGAAAAGGAAAATTCGTTTTATTTAAATAAATAAACAAATTATCAAAAAATAAGTTCGTCCTTAAAATCTTCATGTCTCTACGTACATATTTCAATTTTCATATAGATACCTTTTAATATACTTTAGACACGGGGTCTGAAAGAAAAATTCATAAATTTATTTTTTATTTCCATTTTACGTTTTTGTTAGTTGCGTACTTCTTTATTTCGTATGACGGCAGAATGTAACCCGGCCGGCTCATGTCGCCTCGCAGAATGTAACCCGGCCGGCTCGTGTCGTCACGCTGTGACGCAGTAGGTTTCCGTTTATTCGTCGGGGTTCGTTATTAATTGTAGTTTTTGAAACAGTTCCGTGTTGATTTTGTACACGCGTGCGCGAGCGACAGTTCAATCGTTTTGTTTAATAAATTTACTTGTGATTACGTGTTGATATTAAAGTTTTTGTTACGTTTTTGGATTCTTTTTTGTTTTAATAATGCCTAACGCGTACGTTTATAGTGGTCAACATGTTAGGTATCCGAACCTAGGTACACGAAGTATCGCTAAATAAATTGTTAAGACGTCGGGATCGTACAAGTGTGTCATACTGTACAGTGCACAAAGTGTTGAAGCGTAACCAATGCGCCCATACAAATTGCACAAAGTGCAAGCTTTAGTTCCCGGCGATCACGACCGCCGACGAGTTTTCTGCCGTTGGTTATTATACCAGCAACAACGTGTGCCTGGTTCCATTGAGCACATTATCTGGACGGATGAGTCGACATT